TACCTTGTCGTGGGCTTTACCATTTTTACAACAAATAAAAATGACCGTATTAATCCTGTTTTGGGAATTCGATCCTACTTACGATCACATGCGGTTTCGAGCATAGATCATATCGTTGGACTAGTCGCCAACATACTTAAGAAGAATCAGGGTTTTTTCGCTTATGCGATTTTAAAAATCCCAATATGGATGATCATATTGGCTCTCCTTATCATATAGCGGTGGCATGTCAGGATGAAATCTAACTAGGCGGTCGGTGGTCGAGCGATTGAGGTCATTGCAGTCTCTGGACAACGAATCACAAGTCAATAGTATCAACCAATCAGAAATTGTGCAGTTTAAACAGATGCCGTTTGACGCCAAGAATTCAAGCAGGCTATTGGCGAAGACCTGTTTAATCAATGACGTTTCTCCGTACATATTACTAAATCACAATGATTGTCCTCAATAAACTAACCGCTACTTCTGTGGCTTTTTTGCATCTCGGTGACGGGAGACTCCGTGCTTCGTCTGCGATTGTGATGCGTGATTCGTGATAGGTGACTCCTATCTATTCCGATTACTACACACTAACACTGCGGATTATCACGCCATGTTGCGTCTAAATGTTCGATTGAGTATTGTATTGGCCCGGTGAGTAGTACCAAAATAAACAGATTTCTCTGTCAATTTCAAACTTCTCTGACAGAATAATGGATATACTTTTTGCTCAAAAATAGATCAGCCAGGAGAATCGGGATTTCGTTACCTAATCACCTCGAGTCACAATCAAACTGACAAGCCAGTATCGTTCGAACCACTAATTCTGTCGACCGGTTATTAATGCCTGTAAACCCAGTGGTTGGACCCACCGATTCAGTCACCCTCCACCCTCTCTCTCGTTCTATCTATCTAAGATACCTAAATGGTCTATTCTCAGGACTAGCCTCGTAAGCAGTTCAGTGCAATTAAGATTTGTACGTTAGGTCACACTTCGTATGTTTCAATGTGTCTGGTCACACATTTCAACCCACATACATACGTGCAATTAGAGAACAGGACTAAGCTCATCGACACTGACCACCTGACAGAAACGCAGAGCATATTAACCCTCTTTAATGAATAAGGTCATCCGTACATAAAATCTTTTGAATGCGTTGAGTCGATCGGCCGTTTTTTTCTCAGACCACATACATACATACTTGACATGCACATATAGTGTAAGTCCAAAAAGAAACGACAGTCTACTCATTTCTGGCACATAAACATACCCCTGCGCCTGATACACACTTATTGATTGAAAATAACATGCCCACGGAAACTAATCAATGGAAGGCAACCCATACAGAACCGGAAAGGGCGAACATTTTGCCCCGTCCAGCTCGGGGTCCACGACATATGCAAGTTGCGGACTATCGAAATTATCTGTTGGAGAAAAAGAAAACCTCACGCGGACAGCCTCCATACCCGACACGACAAAAGTTACAGGAGCCTCCGTGGAATGTGTGGCCGAAACCCAATCGTACACAAAGTGTGATCGATCTACGCTGTGCTGATGATACAAACCTTCCACCGGCCCAATTCATCCCCGATTCTGTCGACACGGTGGACGATTGTCTGCTGACGCAGTACGAGGAAGAGGATCGGAGCTGGATGGAACAAACCAGTTCGATTTCGATGTGTAGTAGTCTATGTCCTTCGCTTGGAACAGCCACACATTCCATGACCGAGTCAGGTTTTCCTGCGTCCGAGGTGGAACCCTGGGAATTCAGTGAGCCGGGTGCATTTGCACAAATAATATATCCAATGCATGCACGTTTGAAATGTCACTTGTTCTCACCCACACCGATTGGTCCATTGGCTCGTCACAGTTGGCTTTCATCTCAAGAAACTGTGGGACAGATTCAGGATGAATTGGCCGCGTTCATATTGCAAATTAAAGGTAAGCGTTGGTCTGGTCTCTGTCATGGGAATAATTCGTTCGAGGCAGAGTTGTTTGTGTTTTAGGATAAGAAGGCAGTTTGTTAATTAAAAATGATGGACCCGAAGAGGATGCGAGAAAGTCCGGTAAATTATCTACTGTATTTGCATTGAAACTAAACCGTGG